TTTGTTGAAATCACGCAGAGTTCTTAAAACCAAGTCTAACAGAGAGATTCTGACAGAGAACAGTCTAGTAAAGGTAAAGCCAGATATATCCCTATACAGCAAATGACTTGACTGTCAAAGAATTAAGGGATGCACTGGGAAATCTAGTAATGTATCAGAATTCTTTTTCCAATTATTTTCTCTATGACCATATTGCAAAAGCTAAATATAAATGTTAAGAGAAATAATGTCTTATTAAACTATTATGCAGCTTATATGAAAGTGACAATTTCCTCTAAAAAACACTCAAGCCATTTATCCTTTTTTCTTTCTTCTTTCTCTCTCTCTCTTTTTCTCTCTCTGTCTCCTCTCTTTCTCTCTCTCCCTTCCTTCCTTCCTTCCTTCCTTCCTTCCTTCCTTCCTTCCTTCCTTCCTTCCTTTCCTTTCTTTCTTTCTTTCTTTCTTTCTTTCTTTCTTTCTTTCTTTCTTTCTTTCTTTCTTTCTTTCTTTCTTTCTTTCTTTCTTTCTCTTTTTTCTTTCTTTCTCTGTCTCTCTGTCTCTCTCTGTCTCTGTCTCTGTCTCTCTTTCTTTCTTTTTTGCCTGTCCTGGGGCTTGAACTCAGGGCCTGGATACTGTCCCTGAGCTTTGTATTGTGGTGTTTTTTTTTTTTGCTCAAGGCTTGCACTCTACCATTTGAGCCATAGCACCACTTCTGGCTTTTTTTCTGTTTATGTGGTACTGAGGAATGGAACCCAGGGCTTCATGCATGCTAGGCAAGCACTGTACCACTAAGCCACATTCCTAGCCCAAGCTACTTATTTCTTAAGGCATAACTGCAATTTAACCTAGATTTTGTTAAATGCAATATAAATTTTATCTTCTTAAAATTAAGTTTGCTATTTAAGATAGTGCTCTTACCAAATAATTTTTATCTTCAGTGTGACATTTTGTACTCTACTTTGTCTTACTTTTAAAAATTTTTTAAATTTTATTATCAAGGTGATGTACAGAGGGGTTACGGTTACATAAGTAAGGTAGTGAGTACATTTCTTGTCGAATTTGTTACCCCTCCTCATTTTTCTCCCTCACTTTAAGAGGATTTCTTTTTTTTTAAAAAAGAGGATTTCTTTTAACTGACATCTTTTATTGACAAGTAAAATGTTTTCATATTTATAGCAGAAAATATGATATTTTTGACACTCAAATGTATGATCAAATGACTAACTCAAGCTATTTAACATATACATTATCTCACATTACTATTTTTTGGTGGCAGGAGTGCTTACAATCTATTATAAGCATTTTTTCAGGTGTGCGACATATTGTTAATCTATTTTGCTTATGAGCTAATTGTGTTATTTTGTCTTTTCACCAAAGAAATCTGATCAGTACTGCAGTTTTTTAGTTAAAAAAAAAGCCCAAGGGAATTGCCCTGAGGTAAGTTCTATTGTGATGACTTTGAAGTAAATATTTGTGTATCTGGAAGTCTCCAGAAATGTAAATTACACACAACATACCAACTACTGGTCTAGTAGGTTCTAACCTATTGTTCTGTTCCAGTGGCATTTCCAGACTGTCTTTGTGGGAAGACAAAAGACTCTACAAGCCCTAGAAGCTGGAAGGTCTTCCTATGTGATTGCATTTTTATAGTTCCATGTCTTCTTTATCCCTGCCTGCTCATCTTACCCCGTCACTGTCACTTCCTTTCCCTAGACAGAGATCTATCTCTCCTTGCCCTAAGGCGGTCCGATGGCAATACTGTTGAAGCTTCTTCTTTGCATATTGAACCAAATATGAATCACTGATGCAGCCAGCTTGGGGTACAGATTTAGTCATATGCGTTTTCACTTCTCCAGGGACACACTGGGATCACTATATCCCTCTCCCCTTCCCATTCCTATGAGCATTAAGCATCTTGGAGGCATTTTTCAGCCTTAAAGGTCAGTCTTGTCCCCAAATGCCAGTATGCAAAGAACAGCCATTGTGTTGTTAGAGTGGAGGCTGGATTGTCAGCCCGAATTTAATGGTTGTTCCACTTTGGCATCATAAGGCTTCTTTCTTACCAATAGGTGTTAGTTAAGATCTCCCAGTGTACTTAGATAACTTTGCAATAAAATTGAGTCTCAAAAGAAAAAGGAACCTGGGATTCTATTGCAAACTTGACCTTTGTATCTCAGTGAACAGATCTGCTTCCCCAAGAATTTCCAAGAGCCTAGAATTTCACAATCAGGGTCAGTCAGATCGAATACTTCTTTCCCCAGAAACACGGAACCTCCATCTCTCCCCTGGCACTAATATCAGCCACTCAATGACCGATGCTGAGCTCCCAGCCACATCTCTAACCTGTGGAGTCACCCACACTGTCTGGGTAATGTTTAGCTTCTCTTAAGAGAAACTGCTAAGCCAGCCTCACTGTATACCACTACATTTTTTGGCTTTGGACCCAGCTCAATGCCTGGCGCATAATAGCCATTCAGTGAATATTTGTTGAGTTGAGAAAAAGAAAAAGTTGCTCTGATCTGATTGGATGGAGAACTCTGCCCAGGGCAAAAGAGAAAAACGAGGTGGAGGTGGGGGTGGGAAGTGGTAAGGCTTGGCATGCCATAGGTAAACATGAGTGTTGGGACTGGTAAATGTTGATTTCATAGATGAATTAAAGCATTTGATAACCCTATAAATAGACTACTGTACATTTGTATAAATGGCACACTTAGCTTGTAGTTATAAGGAGCTGAAATAACTACAAGAAAAATGAAAGGGCCCATCAGTCAAATGCTTGTTTTGCCTACGTGAAAGTCAAACAACCAATGGGACTGATTTTTTTTTCCCCTCCTCTGAATCAGCCCTTTGTTTTATGACCCAAAGCTGCAGTGCAAACAGCGGGCTTCGGGCGCTGTGGATGGTGTATGGGCTGCGGTGTTCCCTGGGCTCCTGGGATCAAAGTATAGCAAAGTATTTTTGCTAATGTTACTGGCTCAAACAAGATCTGTTGAAGTGACTGATTAGAGTTGTTTGATTAATGGAGTTATCAGGTTATCTTATCTCTTTCCATGGTGCACTATAGAGGCTAATGAAGAGAAAAAAGGGGAGAATAAATGTGGAAAATAGATTCCATATTATGGGTTCTTCGATTGAAAGATTATTCTATTTTCTCCAGTCGAGAATAACATATTTATACATCTTTGTAAATATGTGCTACAGAAAGACCTTGTGGATGACTGAATAATGGCTCTCCAATGTCATGTAGGGCACCTATGAATGTGCTGCTGTACAAGGCAAAGGGAACTCGGCTGATTAAGGTAAAGATTTGGAAAGAGCAAGAGCATTCTGGGTACTCTATGGCCCAGTGTACTCACAGGGTCCTTATCAGAGGGGGCCAAGAGGGCCAGAGTCAGAGGAGAAGTGACAACAGAAGAACAGAGGAGAGATGAGAAGATACTGTACTTCAGGATGGATGAGAAGGTCAATGTCAAGGAATGTAGGTACATTCCAGAAGGTACATTCAGAAAGCAAGGAAACAGGGTTTTTCCTAGAGTTTCTGCAAGGAACACAACCCTACTGATACCTATAATACTGATACCAATGAGAAAAATGTGTGGTGTTGTTTTGACCTAAATTTGTGTATGTCGTTTTAAGCACTAAGTTTAGTATTTGTTACAGCAGCAATAGAAAACAAGTATGGACTTTTGACTGCTCACAGAGAATTCTCTAAATGTGCTTAATCATTCTGTTCAAAAAGGAATAAGGTCCATTTTAATGTTAAATGTTGTGAAAAGCAACCAATCCAACTTTCTTCAATTGTAGTCTTCCCCAGGAAATTATAATTTTTATCCTTCCTGCTGTGGGTTTTAGTTGCTGGGAGAGTTCCAATAATGGGTGGAAAGGATAGCTCTGTCCTCCCTTTGGTGCTGACTTTGTTCTGTGTGATTTACAGTCTTTCATCTTTTCAAGCTGGTCTATTTTGAAATGGTGCATTTAGTTGAACTGAAATTCATGGATCTGCTTCACTGGATACAAGTAAAGCACCAACTTCAGGGTATTGTGCACATCAGAGCAGAGGCCACCCCCACGCTTTACCCTGCAGTCCCTGTGGTTATGGCCCTGCCTTGGACACCAGGATGGCGATTCAGAGGGATGGAGGGATACAAATGTATTTTTTGTGCTTGAGAAAAAGGCACTTTCAAAATTGAAAATCTCAAGTGACCTATAGAAACCCAGAAAGTCGACCTATGGTATACTTGAATTTGTAAATAAGGCACAGTCAGAAATTAACAATAGCTTATCCTTATACTAAGGATTATCACGGTTACAGCAATTAAAGTTACATGAATGAGGTCTCTCTTGATATTTTATTGTATGTACCTATCTTCTTTTGATGATATGACATGATACAATGACTCTGTGATGAGATGTGGTAAGGCAAATGACAGGTAGTCTGATGAAGCTTTAGGCTACAAGCACTGTGATATTTCATCAGTTGATCCGACAGTCAAGATGGCTACTAAGTGACTAATGGGCAGATAGAGTGTACAGTGTAGATGTGCTAAACGAAGAGATGTTCATGTCCTGAGCAGGGATGAATGGGACCATGGACTTCATCATGCTACTCAGACTAGAGTACAACTTAAACCTTGGGTTCTCCATTGAGTACAGTCTGCCAATACCATTGGAATCTGAAACCTTGGAAAGTAAAAACAGGATGAAGAAGGGGATGGTAAGTAGCATTAAAGTGTTTAAGTAACATTTGAAGGGAGAAGTATTTTATGGCAATCCTGGGCTAACTGCCAAAGCTATCTATTATCAATAACTGCTCTGTATTGAGAGAGGGAAGCCATTACTTCAGGCTGGGGTGGTCAGAGAAATAGATCTTGACCAAACATTTGGGCATGAAGGTGACAGGGAACAAAAGAGGGGTCTTTCCAGATAGAGGGTAAAGAAGGTAAATGGTTATATCCAATCCAGAAAAAGCAGAAGCAGTCTGGAGATGTTTACTATTCATACATACTCTGAGTGAAACAGAGAAAAAAATGTCTGTTCTCCATAGCTTCAGTTTTGTAACAACTGCTGACAATCTGGGCTCACTGCAGAAGGCTTAAATATATGCATTATAAAACATCAAATAGAGTACAGTATACAGCTATACTGAGATAAAAGTTAGAAAAACACCAGAATTTCAAAGGCCAATTCTTACATAATTTTTCTGATGGGGCTTTTTTTATATCAGACTTTTTTTTCTTTCTCATAGATGGAAATGTTGGCTTGTTCCAAGGGGTTTGAAGTAACTCTCAAATAGGAATTTGTCCATCAGAAAACAGCTATGTACTCATCTCAGCTCCACATCTGTGCACTTTGGTTTACTGGAAGGAAAGCTTCTAGTTGAGGGACTGTCCCCTACCCTAAGACAGAACTTCAGAATCTAACTGTTAGGAAAGTAGATAGTTTGATGTAAATTGTATACATAAATGTGGCTTCATCTTTTTTTTTTAATTGTGAAAATACTGTACAGAGGGGTTACAATTACATGGACAAGATAATGAGTACATTTCTTATCAAGCATTGTAGCCTCCTCCTTTGTTCCCCCTTCCCATCCCTTCCCATCATCTCCCCGCTCCCCAAACCTCCTCCCCCCCCACAAAGTTGTAAAGTTCGTTTTCAACATAACGACTTGTACATCTCATTGTTGCAATGGGCCCACCTGTATCCCTATTTAAACGATTTGTTTTTTCCCTTCCCCTCCACATCTTTTGATAACTGGTTTCCAATACATAGATGTCATATATTCCCCAGCTTCCAATGTACCTGTCCTTCTGTCCTTCTCCCTAAAATTGGGGTAGAACATCTGGGTTGGGTATACCTACTCTCTATGTCTGTAGAAATTTCAGCTCATGTTAGTGGAGAACAGAGATGTTTCAGTGGGGTGCAACTCTACCCAGAGGCATTTCTCCCAAAGCTGTCTTGGTCAGCTTCAGATCTCTTCTTGGCCTCGCCCTTTTAGGAGGGCACAGATCAGTATTTTCCAAAGCCCACTGGCATGCAAGCCCATCCCCAGAAGTTCTGCTTAGACTAGTGAATACGTCTATTGTGAGTCTGTCTGTATATGTCTTTGCTGCTTGTGGGTGTTCTGTGAAAGGCCTGTTTGTATATACTGATTGAAAGGGTTTGAATGCCCTGTGACAGAGTTGTTGGTTCTGGGGAAGGAGGGATTAGAAACAAGATTTTCCAGGGTCCAACCCCAGTGGCTTAGAGACTTGACACCCAGGTGTTTGTGGGAGAAGATGGAAAGAGGTGAACAGGAGTAGCAAGAGGCAGGTCTTGGAGAAGGAAAGGCTGGATGGGTGGGGCACAAGTATGCCAGGATCGCTCCCAGTGGAGACCTTATCTCCACTTCACCCTTGTGAAGAGGCAGAGGGAAACGAAGGCCAATAGACCTGAGTAGCCATCTCTGAGGAGCTGCGTTTGTCCAGATTCTTCCTCTCCCCTCCCCCAGAAGCTCCATGCTTCAGGCTAGTGACTGTATCTTTCATTTCTTGTACTCTGATGCTTTGTCTTCTGGAGCCTTATCTTCTCTCCTAGAGTGAACTAATTGCTAGTGTTAGGAAAGAAATCACCTGGGATCAGTTTTCAAATACAGACCAACCACATCCAGAGTCCAAATCCCAACTGCCTCCTTGGTCAGCCTCTTATAATCTGGGCCATTATTCTCTTGTCCCAGTCACTACCTTGGGACAGGTACCAGACAACTAGCCCAGAATCCATTGATTAGATGCAAACCAAATTATCTGCCTTGCCAGATCTTCCTACAGAAGCTGCCATCACATTTTCTGCTCACGACCCTTTCCTTCCCCATGCAGGTGCTGGTGGTGCCTTTCAGGGCATGAAATACTTCCCCTTTTAGGACATTGGAGCCTGTGAGACATGACTAATTTTTTTTTCAATGGTAATCATTTAATGGTCCATTGGCCTCGCAATAGCTAAATAACAACCGACACTATTAAATTATTCAGTTCCAGAACAAAAAAAGTCTCTTGGGCCAGCATCACTACCCAAGTCAGGTTCTCATACTCCCAACTTTCTCCTTTCAGTTTTTTAAAAGAGACTTCATTCAGCTAGTAAGACAATTAAGTGAAATTAAATGGAAAATTGAACTCAGTGTAACTGAGTTAATGGTAGCAAAAGTACCTGCTATTGTTTCTGAAATCACATATTTAAAGCTAATGTGAACTGAGAAATCTGTTTTTTTAGACATTTAATATTTGGGCTGGGAATGTAAAGTAGGCAAAATTAGTAAGTTGATTTGAAATCCACTAGCTTAGAAAGATATAGGGTATACATAAGCTGGACTTAAGAAATGAAATGAAACTCTGAAATTGTCTTGGTTGTTACTACATGGTAGGTTGGTCCCAAGGGCTTTATGGCCCATTCAATGTGCCACCAAAATTCTGAGGAAAATGCTACTATTTCCATCTGAAAGATAAAAAGACTTAGGCACTCAGCTGATGAGGAACTTATCTCTGGTCTCACAGCTAGCTGTACCTCACATGTAGGATTTGAAACCAATCAATGTAGCTTCATAGCCTCTGTGAACCACTGTGCTGTCTAGAGCCTCTGTTGTGGGAAGGCAGACAAACCCATTCATAAACTTTGGCTCTACCAATTATTAGTTGTGTGACTTTGGGTAACTAAATTGACCAAGTATAGCATAAGAGTCAATCTAGAACATGAGTATGATAGCACTTAGTTACTTTATTCATCTCTGATATAAGAATAATATTTATCAATAGGGTTGTTTGTGAAGGAAGAAGGCTCACTTCTAAGGAGGGATACAGACTAGCCAGGGATGACGTTCAGCTGATGTCAGTTCATTTTGTGTTGCTATAACACCATTCCTGAGATTGGTTCTATTTTAAGATTAGGGATTGATTCAGCTCACTATTTTAGAGGTTAAACATCCAAGATCAGGCAGCCTCATAGATAGCAGAAGGAATAGTGATAGTGCCAGAATGCAGAAGAAAGATGAAGAAGGAATGCCAGGTTTTATAACAACCTGTTGTGGCAGCCACGAATCCAGTTCCATGACTTTCAAGGGGTGCAGGGGGTGGACATTAATTCCTTCTGAAGGCAGTGCCTACATGACCCAGTCGCCTTCCATAACCCCTCCCTAGGCTCTGCCTATTAAAGATCAGATTGCCTCTGCACACCATATGCTAGAGACCAAGCTTCCTGAACATATGCAAACCACTGCAGCCAGTATGCTATGGGACACTTGAATCAATTATTAAAATATGGAGATAGGTTCATACCGATAGCAGGTTGATGTTCTCAGCCTCCTCCAGTGAGCGGCCCTTGTTGTGACAAGTATCCACTTCTCTCTGCAGGGTCATCTGTCCTGGGTCAGGTCTTGGGGATGCTGCTCAAGGACTGAAACTGGTGAACATGTGGTCACTTGGTCTCTGTTCTATTCAGGTTGTTAAAACTTCCACAATATCACCGTGACAGGCAAAAGTACAAGGGCTGCCCTGTGGCTTTCAGCCGAGGACCCCAGTTGTTGGGTGATGGCCAGCCAAAGCAGGAAGCATGTGCTGGGCATTTTGCCATCCTTTATGTGACAAGGGATCAAAGGGAGAGAAAGAAGGCTAGAGTTTTCCCTCATTTTGCCTCCTCTCCTCTCTCCTTAGACTTAACTTATGAAGAGTGACTAGCTAAGAGACAGGCTAACATTTCTATTCTAGATCCTTAGAAAACTGGAGAGTATCTGGGTTCATGAAAATATTATTCCAAAATGGATTGGTGTCATATTATCTGAGAGAGAAAATCACCTTTCTCTAGGCTTAAGTCAGATTGCCTTGGGCCTCTGAACTCAATTGCTTGCTGTGGTAAAGGACCCTTTCTTGAAAACACCGTGCCACAAATTCCATCTGCCTTGGACCACCCAGCCACATTTATACTTGCTATCAGTCTGGGGATGACTGGCTTTGATCTGGTCTTTTAGAAATTTACAGTTTCTCACGAGCTTGACTATGAAAGGCAGATCTCTGAACAATCACATCAGAGCTGCCTCTGGGGACCTCAGTTATGCTACACTGAGTTTCAATCAAAGCCTTTTTATGGGCATTTGGGAGAAGACTTCACAGACCTGGCAATTCAGCTACTGATTATTCAGGAACCATATTTATTATACCATTTTCAGAGAACAACACCCAAAACCTTTTTCCTTTTCTATGCAAACACTGCACAGTTAAGTCTAGTAATTCCCCTCATCATCTTCCCTGTCATCTTCGGCATTCCCAAAAATCCCATAATAAAGCCCATTTTACTAATGGAGAAGATGAGGGTTGGAGACATTGATTTCCTTACTTATTGATGATGTATAAATAGAGTCTTTCTAACAAATATTGTTCCCTTAACTAAACTGCTTGGAACTAGGAAGTGGAACTCACTTTGACATTCTAACTTTGTTACCAAACAGAAGGTGGGTTAACCTCATCATATCCACAATTGGAAATCTAAAAAAAAAAATAGAGATAGAAAGTTTATATGCAAAGGTTCATCACTTAGATATGTTGAGAAAACCAGGTCCATGATTCAATTAATGTTAATCATTAAAAGACTATCCTGATCAAATCAATTAAAGTTCAGAGCAGTGACTCAGACAGTTAAGCGCTGTTTATAACGAACTATGTTTACCATAGGGCTGTGAGGAATTTTAAGAGTGTGCTGCTATGTGTTTAACCTCGAGTACTCAAAAGAGAAAACATCTGCTGATTTCTGTACATATTCTCATGACGACCAGCTTCCAACATGGCATCAAGGATGATGATGTAGGTCAGAAACATAGCAATGCACTTGTTACACAGAGCTCCCATAACAGATGCAACAGAGATGGACATACAGTAACACACATGTTTCAGTCAGCTTTCCATCACTGTAATAATGTATTGGAAACCATCAGCATTAAAAGAGAAAAGGTTTATTTTGGTTCAGACTTTTGGAAGTTTCAGGCCAGGACCACTTGTTCTCTTCACTTTTGGACCTGTGGTGAGGCAGGACCATCATGGCAGGAGCTTGTGGTAGAGAAAGCCCAGTCCCCTCATGGCTGGGAAGGAAAGAATGAAGGAAAAGGGAGGAAAAGAGAGCAAAGTCCTATGCTTCCCACTGCAAGGGCATGTTTTCAATGACCTAAAGACTCCCTTCAGTCTCCATCTCTCAAATATTCCTCCACCTTCCAATAATACCATATTGAGGACAACGCCTTTACCAAATGGGGCTTTGGGGTGACATTATAGCAACATGTAAGAACAAAATGTAGAGCTGGGAGCAGTGAATCATGCTGTGATTCCAGCTATTTTGGAGGTAGGAGGATCTCAGTTAGAGGCCCACATAAGCAAAAAAGTTAGTGAGGTTCTCTCTCAAAAAACAAGCTGGGTTTGGTGGTGCATCACTGTATGCCAGGTATATGGGGGTTGAAGGGAGGAAGACTGAGTCTCAGGCTGACCCTAGGCAAAAGGCAAGATCCTATCTGAAAAACAACAGAAGCAAAAAGGGTTGGGGTGAGGTATAAGTGATAGAGTGCTTGTGAATCAGGCATAGAGTTCAAATTCCAGTACCATCTTCCCAAAGAAGAAGCAAAATATAGTTAGCTTAATTAGAAAGTATTATTTTTGGTAATGATTTAATCTTGTTTTAATTGGCTTTATTTAATGTAAGTTTATGTAATTTAATTTTTAATAATGACTATGTTTAATAATTAGCTCACAAAATTTATAAAACTTAGCAACTAAACTTTCAAACCAGAATGAGCCCAAGCCAGCATACCACTGCTGTGATCCCCAAAGGGCTGAGTGGGCTAGAGAGTACATTAAGAAGTATTTTCTGAAATTACTTAAGCCATAGCCCCTTCTTCAGGGAGTATTTTATAGCATTTGTGCTCTATAGAGAACACTTCTAAAAACTGCTGATCTGAGCTAACTTGAGCATTTCCTTTCTCTCATATTTCTTTCCTTCTAAAGCTCCTATGGTTTCCTTGATGACTTATTGGGAGGTTAGCACATGACACTTCCACTAACTTCAGCTCAGTAAATATTTATTGGGTTCCTGTTTTGTATAAAACCCAATGCTTGTAGGACAGAGAATTCTAGATGGCTGAGCCTGAGCTCCTGCTAAGTCTTGGGGGACAAGCTGTAGGAGAAATACAGAAATAACTACAGTGGAAGGCAACATGTGGTGAAGACCATTGGAAAGGTACGGGTAATAACTTTTCACATCCAGTTGTCCTTATTATAATGGGAGACACTCAAGTCCAATGAGAGCAGGAGATTCAGCCTCTTTCCTGGGACTGAAAGAAATCTAGGGAGAGACAGTGGCCAGTGTGGGGTTCCCAACCAGTGGCTAGGTATGGTGTCATGAACCTGTTTCCTGGCTATGGAGGAAGCACAATGGCTGGTGCTGTGGTGCACACTTCATGTTCAGTGACACAGGAATGCACAAGTAGGAGGACTGTGGCCTAAGGCAGTTGGGCACAAAGTGAGAACCTACCTTGAAAATCACCAAGGCAAAAAGTAGCTCAGCAGAAAGAGTGCCTTCCTAGCAAGTACAAGATCCTGAATTCAATCCCTAGTATAGCTCTAATAGCAAAAGTCTAGGAATCTCTGATTTTTCAATGAGGTAAAATGAAATTTTCTATATTCATCTCATGTCATCTGAGTTCTTTGAAAATTGAACGTAGCTTTCCTAATTCATCTTCATAGGTGGGGTGGTCAACTAAGGTCTCACAGTCAGTTAATGCAGCTACCAATAGAGCCTTGAGCCTTGACTGGCCTCTGTCACCTCTGGGAGGTTCATCTACTCTTTGAGACACAGCATGGAGGTAACAGTCATTATTGAGATCCTTTCTCAGTCATTATTTCTCAGTCATTATTGAGGTCCTTTACATGATTCCTGAGAGGCCCACTGTGGATTCATTCCCTTTATTTGTACTTTTATGGTTTGTCTTAGTCCATTTCAGCTGCTATAACAAAATGTCCAACACTGTAATTTATAAGGAGCAGGTTCTGGGAACAGGAGTACATGGTCAAGGTCTTGTAAGAATCTGTTCTCTCTTTTTCCAAGATGGTGCCTGGGTGCTTTGTTCTGAGGGGAGGAGTGCTGTGTCCCTACAAAAAGAAGGGACAAAAGGCAGGAGAAGATTCCTCTAACCTTAGTCAATACAGTGGTAATCTTATTCATGACTTAATAATCTCCCACAAGTCACACTCCTTAATATCAATGTGGAGATTAACTTTCAATATAAGTTGTGGGGAGACAAATATTAACACAATGGAATGCATTATTCAAATTGTAACCATTGGCCAGTCATCTACAAGACTTGATTACCACTGAAGTTTGACAATTTTAGTGACCTTCTAGTAGAATTACATAATGCCTCACAAAGTTAAAATTTGGCATTATGTTCTTGAAAGAGGCCTAAACCACAGAATGAAGGAACAGAAAGATGGGTTTGGAATCAGCAGGCCCACTGAAGCTATGTTCCTGAGATCTGGAAGCAAGGACCCGGCAATGGAATTCACAGAGCTTCAGAGAAGGGAGCCTATGGCAGTCCCCCCATTTCCAGCTTTGATTTATGTCCTGTTCAAATAAAATAACTTGCTTTCTGAGAGGCACTTTGGCTTAATTTTTTCCGAAGAAGCAATTCCTAATCCAAAGCAAAGAGTTTACTCAGTGTTCAAACAGCCATGAAAGTCTTCTGTAGCACAGTGTTTTCTAGCCATCTAAATTCTCTACAGAGAACCTAGAGATGTCTTCAGAAAAGAAGAAACCCAACAAATATTCCCGGTGGAACCAAAGGCAGCACAATTCATCAACTTCACCAATTCCTGATGAAATCCAAAGTTGGCAGATAGAACTTTGGTTAATTTTCAAATTTTTTCAGGAATGTATTCTTGACTATGTATTTGAAGTACTTTATTCTTGTTTTTATTAATGTAATAATCTCATTCTGGAGAGTTGTTGATTTATCCATCTATCTTTTCAGAGACTTCAGTTTTCTTGAGGAGAGAGAAATTGTCTCATTTTACTTTGAACTTTATGTTTTTGTTTTTTTTCAAGCTTTTTTTTTTTTTTTACTTATGTGGTGCTGAGGAATCGAACTGAGGGCCTCATGCATGCAAGGCAAGCACTTTACCACTGAGCCACCTTCCCAGCCTCTCATTTTACTTTGAAAGTCAAGTACATACAATGCCTGTACATATTAGGTACTATATATTGTCTAAAGACTAAAGGCATAAATCAATGACTGACACCATTCTGGTTATGCAGTTACAAGACACCTTGTAAGAATGAATACACTATTCATCAGTGTGAAGATTCAGAAGTGTGTAATGTGAAGTCAAGATAGAAGTAAGATATAGCCCTGCTAGAAGACAAAATATGTCTAATGGGGTTTAGATATGAACAAATTTCTGCTTGAATCATTTGTTATCTATACTTCTGGTCTCTAAAGCAACTGGAATGTAGGAAAGTTATGAGTTTGTTTTATTTACAATTTTATTCCTAAAACTCTTAGAAAAATTAGTAGACAGAAAAAGATCAGATTAAAATCTTTCATAAGACTTTTCTACAGGACAAAAAAATCACTTGACTCTTACCTTGAACTGTAGAGTCTAGTAACTTTTTACTGACCTTATATTTATTATTTCAAAATAATTTAATGAACAAAGTTGACAATGCCAATTGTCAAGATCACAATCAATGAGGGCAGATGTTTTTATTTCTTAGCTCTATGATGACAAGACTTATGAAAAGGCTGTGTAAAGTCCAGTCTTTGAGGATTTAAAGGAGCAGTTTTGGGGGATTTAAAGCAGAGAAGGGTGTGGCTTGGGAAATGATGGGGAGAAGAAAGGACCTTCTACAAGGGAGTCAACTAACTGACTTTCACTCTCAAGTTTTGGGGTGCCTTGAGAAGTGAGGAGACACTCTGAGTAGTAGCTCTTGAATTCCAGGAGAGACCAGGGCTCTACCCAACCTGAGATGATGGCCTTGGGTATAACAGGCGTGTGGATATGATGCAATTCTGTTTTGTTAAGAGTCTGGTCATCTCCTTCACTGGAAACCCATACTTCCAAATTGCCCAACGATTGTCATTTCACAAGCTGGATTATTTCCTGGAGCCCAAGGTACTATTAAGCTAAATGAACTTTCAGATATGTAGACCACTGGAAGTAGAGGGATGAGCTTCCAGAACTGTGCCTAGCTGAGGACTGGGAAAATATGCCTCCCTATTACAGCCATAGAAAGACACCAACAATAGTGGCAACCTGAATGGGTTTCTTATAACTGAAGAAGTCTCACCAGAATGCCCATTATTTGTAGGGGTATTACTGTTGGTGGCCAAATGATCAACACTTTTGAAAACAGAATGAACTATTATTGACCTGCCTAAGTTATGTTTGCCTTTTTTTTTATTGGTATGAAACCTACAAGGGAGTGTTGGTCCTGTTACTGATGATAGCAAAGGCAATTTGGTTAACAATATTTTAAGGGTTTAGTTCTTTATTTCCTAACAGCTACTGTTAAAGAAGCTTAGGTAAGCACTTAGGCTAGCACTTACATTTAGCTGAATGCGAATGTGTTTCCCTTCTTTGCTTCAGAGTTCTACACAGGGAGGGAAAAAAATAAGAGAAAGAGCTATACATTTTTTGCAGGCTGGAAGTATGGGAAAAGTGGTAGAGAACCTACATAACAAGTTTAAGGCCCTAAGTTCAGTTCTCAGAACTGTAATAAAAAAAAAGTCCCTTTTTCTAACTGTTGAAGCATCCTATTATCTATATTTTTTAGTGATTAGAATAGTTCAAGATAGCATAATTCTAACAGAATTTTAGGTCACTCCTTGAGACTAGTTCTTTTAAGACTAGCTTCTTTTTTGCTTGTTTTTCTTAGCATACATGAATAGTACAAGGGGGTTTCGTTGTGGCACTTCCATAAATGCATACAGTGTACTTTTAATAAGTTTACATCATCTATTACATTCCTTTACCCCTTTTCCTCTTCCCCTTCTCAAACAGTATTTAGTGGATTTTATTGCACTATGACCATTTATCTATTTCTACTATCTATCCATCTGTCTATCTCTGTAATGTATTAACTTCGGAATTGACTTACAGAAGTCTAAAACTAGCATATGTTTGCCCCTGTATCTGTATCTAACACAGCTTGCACCTGCTCGAGCTTTGCTGAATACAATAATTTAGATTTTGGATTTTACAAATCCAAGTGCCTAGTTCAAAGTTGTTAAGTTGGAAAGCTATTCAGTTATTCTAGTGGTTCGGCCCTTACTCTAATCCCTTTTGGAATTCTCTTATTGGAATTCCTGTCTTAGACCAACGCATGTGGTTTAGAAGGATTTATTGGAGGCAAACTCTGGTTTTGTGAGAAGAATCTGCTATTTAGAAAATGCGAAAGGCATCTGGAGCCTAGTCTGGTAAATAAGTTGAGTAATCTAATTTTTTAATCTCATTCATATGTGATTAGAAACCAAGGAGACTAATTTTCTGATGTATTTTGTAAACTGTATGTAGAGAACTCCAAAACAGGAATTCCACAATGTTTTGGAGAAGGGAAGAGCCACTGGAATAAATGCATAATCTAGATGAGCAGCCACCTTAATGAAGTCTTATTTCTTTCTAAAACAAATCTTTTACTGTTTTGTTTCTAAAAGAATCTGAAATTCCAAGTAGTCCTAATTTCATATTTGTAAACAGATGGCTTGGAGCGTAGCATAGTCTATTCCTTTGGTCACCTGGACCAATGACCCAGGCTGCTATGCTGAATTTGAATTTGTGTCCAGACTTGCCAGTCCCTCAGGAGAGTGGAGAGCTTACTGTCAGTACCTTGACTTCTCTTGCCAATCACATTTTTTGCTGGAATTAATGAGCTCCTGCATTACCTAATAATTTCCTACACGCTGAGATGAGAATAGCTTGAAACTGGGCAAAAGTGCTGATATACTTAAAAAAAAGAACCTAAATAGCCATATAAACAAACCTCAATGAATTTTAACCAAGAAATTGCTGCCAAACAAATCTTCAGACAGTCAAAATGCTGAATCTTTTATTTTGAAAAGCAACTATATTTTAGTCTCTGTCATGCTTCTCAATACACCACTATAATCACCAGTTTAACCATTCATTAAAAAAGAAGATAGGAGACCATTTTCACAAGACCTATAAACATCCGCAGAGGTAGAGATTCTCAACTGACAAATGATGATCACAAATGTTAGGTCAGGGGCAATTGTAGTTCATGAGTAGGAATAAAAATTACCTAGATTGTGGTTCCACAAAAACTTCTGGTTTCCATTAAGTTGTTTCCCAGAAAAGCAAAAGATGAGCTGAAAAATAAAG